ACAGGAAAAAAAAGACAAAAAAAAAAAACATCTTAGTTTAGAAGATGAGGTAAAATAATTTTATGAACTTTAGAAAGAAAGGAAAAAAAAAACTGGCATAAACAGTAAGTCCAGTAGTGCGAAAACAAGTCAGAAAGTTTTGTTGATATTCCCAAATCGACAAATTTGGGTAAAAAAAACGCAAAAAACATGGCTTTATAATCAAGGATGCTGTGTTGGCTTTGCGTTGATGATGGCAATTTACACCCGTTCATGAAATGTTTCTATGTATTTAAAGACCAGGAACATCACTTCAGGTTACGGGGTCTGGAGTGAATGTAAATGATGAGTGTAATATCAATATTTATTATTGTAAGTGAGCAGATATATCTTTCGAAATAATGTCTTCGCAACTCATTTCTCCGATTCATCATTTGAAAAGTAATTATTTTTTTAACAAAGAAAATATTGTCAAGTACTGTATCTTTAAAGTTAAACGGACGTGATGTAACTTCAGCTTAACACATAAACAAAAAAAAACTTTTATTTTATTGAGGAATATGTACAATGAAAGAAATGTTTAATTTAATAGGGAAATTCTTATTTAAATTATTTTCCCTTATGATTATAGGCATTTGAAGAGGGTTGTAGAATGAGTCGGTTGAAGTGTTTTGGTAAGCATATAAGAAATATCCGAATGAATTACTCGTCCGAAACAAACTTCGAAACATCAAATTTCAAATCTTTCTTGGATTAATAACCCTTAAAATGATGTCATTTTCTTTGCTGTTTTACTTTTTATTTCCAGCTTTAAAAGATAATAGGGAAATTTACTCTTTTTCACTGTTCAATGATCAATAATATGTAATGAACTGTTATCGCGCGAGTTTTATTCTTTGATGTTTTCAAATAAACTTCTGCAACTGGCTTTTCAATTTTATGCCATGATAACGCACGCCATGATTCCGAGACGGAATACAGTAAATTGTCTTCTGTACAAACATTGGAATTTTATATACGGTTTGTCGTTGTAAGTAAAAACGGAGGGAGTATATTTTAGAACATTAAAATGATGGACACTGGAAATATTCTTCACACACATATATGTGTTTGTATATATATATATATATATATATATATATATATATATATAACGCTTACTCCTATTTTGTAGACTGCGCATCAAAATGAAATATCATTCACATGTTAATTTTATGTGGTTATTCTTCCAGGCTGGTACAACTCATGTTGGAAATGAGTTGTAATGGGGGAAAAAATGAGGAAATGAAATAGAGAGAGGGGGGTTAGCATAGGTGAGCATAAAAGGAAAAAACACAATTGGGATATAGATAAATTATTTGTACAGTAACTACGAAAGAAAAAAATAGATGAAAAACATTTATACTTGAAAGACTGACCAATAATCTATTGGAATCATCTCAGGCCAAAAAAGTAGTGTTGCTGCCTAGTTCTCATTGTCCGTCCTTAAGTTCAAAAGCGATTACGCGGACTTATGGCCCTGCAAACTTTACTCCTCAAACAAAATGTTGTTAGCCTCTTGTTAGTCTATCACGGTTACTTTGGCCAATATAAAGAGTTATATTAGCTTCACCAGCAGAGATATTCAGAACAGGACCCAACATACCATGTGGCAAATCCTTCCAAAACCCTTCGTGTTTCTATGGTTTAGGTGTAAGTTCAACTCAGATAGCTTTGTCCCAAAACAATTACTTCGTGGAACAGAGTCCAAAGAGATGTTTCTGTAACCACTGAGCTTAGCCTACGGTCAACCCTTTTCTATTATACATATCCTCATAATATGCACTCCCCCTCTCTTAATCCCAATCAGTAACCTTCTACCTTGAAGTGAACCTTGTATTAGGCCAACGTCATTTTTTTAAAATCCAACAGGAGGTGAGGATGCATCTATAATGCTTATTGTAGCTGAGAAGATGCAGGCAGACATCAACAAGCAGACATGGTGCAAAAGTGCTTAACGTTTGATGTCACACGTTCAAATTTTGATATGGATATCATTTTTAAGACATTTTTTATTTTATAAAGTGTTTTCCAAAGTTTCCCGTGGTCTATTTTGAAAAAGTGGAAAATGTATACCCAAATGGAAAGAATTTTGTTCGCTGAATATATTTTTTTTACATATCTAACGTTTACTTATTTTATTTTTAATTAATGGAATCGCAATTTTTATTTATTGACCGCTTGGTTTCAATGAAAGGAGAATTTCAGTCTAAAGAAGTTTTGAAATTCCAATAATTCTTTATTTTTTATTTCTTGATAGTCGGGATCATTTAGTCGTATTGATATCGTCATTGGTTGATCAATAGATAAAATAAAAACAGACATTTTGTTATCATCCAGTATATTTTAGGCGAACCAGATCCTTTTTTAAGATTTCATGTAACCTAGAAAAACAATTTGTACGAATATATAATTGCTGATACCCTTGACTAATGGCCGGAGTTATTGGTGGTGTATCAGTGTACGAAACGAAACACTGGAGTCAGGATGCTGAAGCTAACATCAATCAGCTAAGTTACAAACCTTTCACTTGTAGTTATATATATATATATATATATATATATATATATATATATATATATATATATATGCTACAAGTATTTCAAACGTTAAAGGTTATTTTTTTGGAAACCCGTATTTAAGTAGACGTTCGGTTGGTCGGATTAAACAAGAAAAGCATTAATTTTCTAGAAATTAGTCTGTTTCCGTTTCTAAGACGAAATTGAGCAGACATGTCCCGTGGAGAAAATCTGAATGAGTGAGTGAGCTTTCAAGTCAAATACAACTTTCCTTGATTGTAAAGCACTACGCTACCACTATCAGGTGGCAGTTTATCCTGCAAAAGAGGATGAACGTTCGAATCCTACCAGAGGACCCATTTTCTTTAATAAGTTTTCTCCAGTAGTATATTTGAGGAAAAAAAAAAACTTGCTAGACGAAATAAATGCTGTTGAAAATAAAAACATAACATTTATCCAAATACGGCTATACACTACAACATAATGACGTGTGAATCAGGTAATACCAGCCCGGACATAGGAACTAGCAGAAATTAAAAGGTGCTTCTATGCTCATCAAAAACTCTCCCGTTTCTTGAATGTGCAAACCGGTCGGAAAAAAAAACGCGGCGTCTACTCAAACACGGGCATCCACTAAACATAACTTTTAAAGTAATCAAAATATGTCAGATTAAAAATAAAATCCTTTAATTCTTTAGAAATTACCCCATATATATATATATATATATATATATATATATATATATATATATATATATATATATGTACTTAATATGTCTGCCCAAACGCATGGATATGTATCTGCGCCGAGACTCGGATTGTTTATATGGATGTGTTTGTTTGAAGTAAAATGTGTACACCTGTATGTATGTGTGCCTATGTGTATGTGAGTTTCACCCCAAAGAAATACCGAGGTAGTTTAACCCCTCCCACCACTAAACAAGCATAAATAGATCCAATTTAACAAAATAAACCTGATGATCGCAAAAGCGTGAAACTCAGGGTCACAAACTCATATTCAAAGAACTGAAAATTATATATATATATATATATATATATATATATATTAGTGGCTGTGGTAGTTTCCTCATGAATGTCCATGATTTATGTTCGAGACTCAGGTTTTCGACATCGGATTTTAGAGGTGGGCAACATTCATTGGCGCATAGCAATCTTCTTACCGGATTATTTTTCTTTCTCTCTGATTTGAATCTAGTAACACTAATTAAATAAAATCTGTTGTATGAATAAAATATTATAACCCAAGTGATTGTAAGCGAAGATAAGCATTAAAAAGTTCTTTCATCAAAAATAAATTTACACACATGCAATACAATCAGATTATATATATATATATATATATATATATATATATATATATATATATATATATATATATATATATAAATACACAAGAAAAAAAAGGACAAAATAATCAATATGGCAAACAAATTTGTTGAAGGGTTCCTCTTGCGGAGAAAGGAAAAAAAATTCTCCATGCAAACACGATTGCAAATAAACGGTAGAAAAGAATTTAAATGCTTAACTTCACAGACGAAAAGAATCAGATTGAGTGGAGAGGTGTGAGGAGTGGGGCAGTCTACACGTGGGTAGGGCGTTGGAGAAGATGGAGAAAAGAAAGAAAACAAAAACGAAACCAAAAAATAAATAAATAAAATAAAATCAACATCTGTTCGTCTACAAACTGTACGCTGCTTTGCAAACTGTACGGCAGTTGTCATTGCTTCTTCTCTTTGAGTAAATCTTCTGAAAATCCTCTAACAATCTTAAAAACGTAAAAAAAGAAAAAAAAAGTTTCTTCTATACTGAGCACATGGATTGAAACCTGGACTGCAGTGCTTAAAACATAAACATGCAATGTAATATAAGATTTTATAAGTCTATTTGATAATTACTTTTTTTTTTTTTAATTTATAGTATTTTGAGAAAGATTTTCAGGTGGTGTGCCTTTTATTTTAAATAATCCTTAAATTTCTATCGATTAGACAAGACCTATTTATTGGTATACATGCACTCAGCAATATGTGGTCCAAGTCTACTTGCACTGAGAGTTCCAAGTAGGATTTACTATCCTTTAAAATTGTATCTTGATCCAGGGTTAATAAAAATACCGCTAGATAATGTTATAAAAACTTAGATTTTAAGTTTTAAATTCTATATTACTTTTATTAATTAGTTACATATTAACTGAGATATGTGATAGATAGATATTATTGAAGGATAGATAGATAGATAGATAGATATTATTGAAGTGAGATAGATAGATAGATGAATATTATTGAAGTGAGATAGATAGATAGATAGATATTATTGAAGTGAGATAGATAGATAGATATTATTGAAGTGAGATAGATAGATATTATTGAAGTGAGATAGATAGATATTATTGAAGTGAGATAGATAGATAGATATTATTAAAGTGAGATAGATAGATAGATATTATTAAAGTGAGATAGATAGATAGATATTATTAAAGTGAGATAGATAGATAGATATTATTAAAGTGAGATAGATAGATAGATAAGAACAGACTGAGATAGATAGATAGATAGATAGATAGATAGATAGATAGATAGATAGATAAGAACATAGATGAGATAGATAGATAGATAGATAGATAGATAGATAGATAGATAGATAGATAGATAGATAGATAGATAGATAACAGTTTGATAGCACAACAAATATGAAGACGAGATAAATTGTTTCAAAACTAAATAATGGTGAATACTTCAATGTTTTTAATCTAAGACTTCATAGTAATTTAATGCAATTAATTAAGCCTTCTTGAAATCATACACACATGAAACATTATGACAAAGTAGGCTTTAAACAGTAATCCACGATATAAATCTCCAAAGATTCTGCTTAAAATTCTCCTTTGAGATATAAAAAGGAAAAGAAAAAATCCCTTAAAATTTTCATCATAGAAAATAACACATTTATAAACAATATTAAATTATTCGTTTGATTTGAAAAGTATATTATTCAAAATATTTTACAATGACATTAAGATTCTTTTTAATGAATCAAGTTGAACATTTATAAATTAGTTTAATGTTGGTTAATTTATTTTTCCAAGAAAATTATGAAAACGTACAAAATTATAGCCAAATTAATTATTGGGAAAGAACAGAAAAAAAAAATGATATTTTGTAAAATTACCCTTTTTGACAATGTTGTTTCTAAATTGGCTTTATTAATTTGTATACAAAGAAAAGGTAACACAACAAATAAAATCATTCGGCGTCAACTTGAGTTTTGAGGAAAAAGTGTTTAAAAAATCAAATTATCATCTGGTGACTCGTGTTTCGTGTGTTTATCGAAGGAGAATAACAAAATTTGAATGATTTTTTTGGTTCCATTTTTGTAGACTTAAACGTTTTAAAATTTTTTTCAACGCCCATTTTTCGGAAATTAATAAAAAGCCTTGAGTTTAGAATAAGTTGGAAGTAAAAAAACAAAAATAAAATTGGCGAAATCAAATTACCTGAACAAATGATAAAAAAAAATCAGTTAAATTTATGCTTAAAATCTAAAACACACTATAAAATGTTTCAAAATATTTCATATCCGTAAGGCCTTAATTTACGGACATTTGAAAGCTTTTTGAACATGAGAGAGAAAAATTATTTCTGAATTGACTCAAAAAGACAGCGTTTAGATTCCTTTGAGAATTTCAGAGATGATGCAATTAATATGAAAGCAATTTTATCTTAAATTTTGAATATATATTGCTGATATCTCTCACAGAAAAAATTGCTGGAGGGTTCGTCTACGAAAAGCTAGAGTCAGAATTCTGAAAATAACATCAATCAACTAAGTGACAATTTTTATATTTGCATTAATATATATATATATATATATATATAAGCCAATGTCCGCAGTTTTTAACGCACAAAACATAGCCCGCTGTGTTTTTTTTACCTTTTCTAAAACCCATATCAAATGGATGAGAGCCAATTTAAATTTACAAACCTCTCAGTTGAAGTATAGATGAGAGAAAATTGACAAAACCCACAATGAAAAATATCTTCCAAAATGAGATTAATGGAATGATTTATGACAAGGTAGTGGAATTTATATATGTATATATAATATAAAAAATTTTACTCCCTACTTTCAAAATCTGAAAGTTTTCACTATCATTTCAAATTGATTTAAGACTGACCGCATGTAGATAGAAACAGTATGCGCACACACACACTCAGATTATTTTTAATCATTTCACCCCGAGTAAGGCAACAAAGCGGTTATTGGGGACTAAAAGAGAAGAAGAAGACTTTAGAATGAACCAGAAAGCCGATTCTAAACAGGAAACAAGGGTGAAACCTCTAATTCTGTTCAAAAGACCGGGGGAGGAGTGTGAACCGGGCAATAGGCGAACTTATCTACTTCCATATATATATTGTATTGGGAATGTTGCAACTAGATATATGAGTTACAACTCTTATGATCGAAGATAGATAATGAGTCGATATAAACAGTGTAGACTTAGAAACTAACACTGCATGGTGACAGTCGGTTTCCTGCATTAAGCTATTATCAGAAGGTCTGATCTTTAAAACATGAAATATTATACTGTCTCTCTATGTGTACACACACACACACATATATGTGTGTGTGTGTGTGTGTGTATATGTGTGTGTGTGTATGATTGTGTGTGTGTGTCTAGATATATACATGTATGCCTATACATGCAAATGTGTGTGCACCCGTATATGTGCATTGTTTAGTGCACACACTGTATAAAAATATGAATTGGGCTCGATAATAAAATACAAGTCTCCGAAAGTTGACATATATTAATAAGTAATACAATGAATAAAACATAAAAGTCTACATAGATAAGAAGTGATACGTACACATTTCAATATAAAACACGATAGGATGGGAAAATGCTTCAAAATGTTGACAAGAAATAATTTTAGAAACGTTGGGAAAAATGCTATCCAGTCTCCATACTTTTTCACACTTCGCATTTCCTCTCTCTCACTCCCTCTCTCTCTCTCTCTCTCTCTATATATATATATATATATATATATCCCTCTCTATAAAAACGAATTCAGTTAAAAGAAAAAATAATAAAATAAACCGATATTTATCAAGAAACGTTTAAATTAATAAAACGGTGGTCAATACGATTTTCTAAAAAAGTAGATATCGAAAAATTTCAGACATAATTGTTTTTAGAAAACCAACCTTCCTGCTACAGAGGTTTCTACCAATCAAGCCATTCATTCAGACAGTAAATTTACCGCCTGACGATACCAAATTGATAGTAACCGAGGTACCAAGAATGCTGGTTTTCGAAAACCACTTATATGTCACTATATATATATATATATATATATATATATATATGTGTGTGTGTGTGTGTGTGTGTGTGTATGGGGAGGCTGTTTGTGCGAATGCTGTTAAGAGAGATGAGTTTTTTACTAAAATATCAAATTATTCATTATTTTTTTGTGAAATTTGGAAAACTTGTAAAACTAACGAATCTCGTCATTGTTGTCACGAAGACAATACACCGCAAGATTCCCTGACAATCTGTGCCTAATTCCAATCGGTGCTCACTCGCTTTGAATCTGCTAACGAGTTTCACCGACCCCGCAGCAAAAGTACTGCTGAATTACCTGAATTGTTTATATATATGAAAAGGAAAGATATTTTTCTGTCGTTATCGTAAAAACAGTCCTCGAATTGGAAACACACATTTCCGTCTTTTTTTTCCCACTCTTTGACAATTAAAATTAATTTCCGCAAAATAGTGAAAACTGTTACAGTTATCCTCTTATATATTTTTCTTTAATTAATTTAACTTTAAGCAAGGCGATAATGCCACTAAGACGCAAGGGTTACTAAGAGGAAGAGCGCATTGCCGAGTAGTTAGAACTTTCGCATTCTGACCATGAGATCCGGGTTCTAATCTCACCATAGTCGATTTGTCAGGAAGGAGACTTCCTGATGTTATCGGAATAGAGGGGGTCGATCCCAGCGTGTAGTGCGTTTGGAAAGTGCCTGAAAACCATACCACGGATTGAACAAAGCGTTGTGTGTGAAATTGGGTAGATGGAACCATTTTGCTAGCACGAAGTCATCGTGGCCGAGGCATTTAGCGTGCTGGTCTTGTTGAAATTGATGATCACGCCAGATAACATGCTCTTTCCCAGAAACTGTAACTAAAGTCTGCTTAGCATAGTTGCAGTATAAACCACAGGTGGGCCCTGTGGATATTGAATGTACACACATGCGCCTGAGCAAGTGTCTGCAACAGGGATTGGCTAGCCGTCCTAGTAGACTGGTATCCTCGAATACGAGTGGCCAGTTATACTGGGAGTAGAAGAGAAGGAAGAAAAAACAAAATGGCGATGACACTGGATTTACATATTTTGAAGATTGTAGCAAAGAACCAGAAGACATTTCCATAGAATCGAAATTATGGTTATATCTAATTATTCCAACAGTAAAACGATGAGCCGTAGTTGCCAATCTAGTAGCAGAATTAAATTTACGCAAATCAGGTTCCAAGAAGGAGAGTTCATTAGAAAAACGACCATTAAAATATTTATAGAAGAGACAAAAGAAAGTCACCTCCCGTCGGTGAGAAAGTGAATGAAGGTAAGATTCCATGTCAGCACTGAAAATATGACAGACCCTTCTTTGGCTTTTGTCGAGAATCTCTTGAGCACCGGACCAAATTTTATCTACATTCATATCAGGTCACTCTTACGATTACTACCGGCACAGTGCAAGCTAGTACTACCTGCTGCATGGTTAGACTATCTTGTAGAGTCAACGGCCATGGAGCACAATGGTGTAGACTGGGCTCTATAGCTAGATATTTACTCTGTCTCCCCACGAAGACGAGTTGTTTGAAGGTGGCGACCCGAGCGCGTATACCCGGGCAAGGAACAAAAGTTGCCCGCAGGCCCCGCAAATGTCGGTTGCGCTGGCCTCGGTGATATCACCGATCCCTCTCTCTGGTGCAATGAAAGAGTGCAGCCACAGGCAGCGATTCCCCAGGGCTGGACACTTCTCAGTATAATTTTCCTCGGTTTCGACACATAGCTTCTCGGCGTTCAATATTTGAAGGGGACAAGTCACGTGCTCAGCTGTGAAGTGATCCTACAACCACACCCTGTCATCATTATCATCATCATCATCATCATCATTATTATTAAGAACAAGGAGGAGAGGGGGAGAATATACCAAATTAATAAATGTGATGTTAAATGTTTTAATAATTACAATAAAGGCTTTCTTAACATAGAGGAATATTTAATATATTCCTCTATTACCTTGTAACCCAATCTATGGCCACATGGCCCAAACTGGCAATAGAAAATTTCAGGTGGACCACAGAAATTTTATAATTGAATATATTTCATCCAATTATAAAACTGAAAAAAAAAATATGGTAGAATATATAAAATTATAAAATTAAAAATGTAAAACGAAAATGTTTACACTATAACAATTTCACGAACCACAAAAAATTCAGTTTTCTAAGTGAGCCATGAACTAAAACAGGTTGGGAATCACTGGTTAAGTCGACTTAGCGCTACATTCGAGGCCTTGTGCCGTACAAAGCTCAAGCATTCTTAAAATATACAATATATTTATAGTCAAGTAGTTTGTTTATAAATGACTTGATAGTAACAAGAAAAGAAATGGTTACAATTATTACCAATTAATGGGTGTCGTTCAGACTATTTGAAGTGGAAACA